GAGGGAAGAGTTGGCACGCAGGCTTGCACGCCTGGCCAAGCCGAGGGATTTTCCCTTTTTTCCCTCCCCCTCAGATGGAGCAGTTTGTTTTCCGCTGACGGTGAAGATTTGTTCCGTGGAGACTGCACGCGGGGCATCGGGTAGGACTGACCTGAAATATATAAATTATAACTGTATATCATAGTCCTCGATTTACGACCACCATTGAACCCAATTTCTCTTGTTAAGTGAGAAATTTGCTTCCGGGAGTTTTGTCCCCATTTTTCGACCTTTCTTGACACTTGTCTCAGTTGTTAAGTCAGTCACACGGTTTCCCTGTTGACTTTGCTGGTCAGAAGGTTGCAAACATGGGATCACGTGACCGCAGGACATTGCAACCGTCATAAGTACAAGTCAGTTGCCCAGCATCCAAATTTTGATCGCGGGACCATGGGGATGCTATAATGGCTGTAAGTGTGAAAAGTGGCCCTAAGCAACTTCTTTCAGTGCTGTTGTCACTAAATGGTCACTAAATGAAAGAAGGTTATGGTCACTAAATGAAAGAAGGTAAATTAAATGGTCACTAAATGAAAGAAGGTAAATTAAGGACTACCTCCGATCCCTTGTGAACTCTCAAGCTTCCTCCTTCCGTTATATCAGTGGTTCTCAACCTTTTTAATGCCGTGACCCCCCCAACCGGTCGTAAGTCGAGGACTACTCAACCGGTCGTAAGTCGAGGACTACTCAACTGGTGCAGCACCGTTTGCAGAATGGGACTTTTGGCGGGCTCAGCTGGGCAGAGACAGCCTGGACAATTCCTATTGGCTTTTGAAAGCCAATAGAATTAGACTCTATTCAAGAGAGTCTATTCTATTGGCTTTCAAAAGCCAATAGAATAAAAGGGAGTAGCACAGCTAAGGAAAAGGGGGAAAAAATGGCGGACTGCGTTGTTTGGCGACCCCCGTGAATTGATCGTTCGACCCCAAATGGGGTCCCGACCCACAGGTTGAGAACCACTGCGTTATATATTCAAGATGGACAGTATTTAATATTTATTTGTTATGTATATGTAGGGGTGTGGGTCTATACATATGTTGTATATAGTATGTTTAGGTGTTATGGATGTGTTTCACTTTGAGAGCGGGCAAACTAAATTTCATTTTTTGATGTGTGCCGTTTTGCCCACAGTAAAAAAAAAATGACAATAAAGGTTAAAGGTTACCTTATCTTATCTTATCTTAAATAAGTAAATAAGTAAGTAAATAAATAAATCAGTCAGTCAGTCAGTAAATAAATAAATAATCTTGCAACCATGGGTTTTTTTTTTTTTAGACAAACACGGTTTGTCTTCCTTGCAAAGTCTTGCTATCCCAGTGTGCAGATCCCCACTTCTCCTGGCTGGCGTTCTTGAGTTTCCCCCGAGTCTTCCCTATAAAACTCCTGGGGATCGGAAGGGAGTCCAGGACGGCTCCCTCCTTCCCCATCAATTTTCCTCCCTGGATGCTAGAGGTCAGAGGTCATCCAGGAGCTGCCCCCTTCTTGCTAATTGCCCTGATGAAGGGGGAGGGGGCGGTGGGGCTTTGCATGTAATCCCTACAGGTGTCAGCGGAGGCTCAACGGAGGATCAGGGACTGTCATCAAATATTTATCTCTCCCACCCACACAAGGGTTAAAGGTCGGTGCTGGGCTGGGGCTGGGGGTGGGGGGGTCAGCTATGCTCTCCTGGGGGACGAGCAAGCTGAGTCCATCCATCATGGCTCAGCCAGGAGTTGCCACCACCAACTTTGCAGCTTGCAAGCTTCAGGAATGGGGAGGGAGAGGCGGAATTAGACGCTGTAACCGCACCCCCCACCCCAAGCTGGCCAAACCCATAAAGGGTTGAAGCACATTTGTTCTGGGGTGGAGGAATCCTTATAAATCCTTTTATTTATAAAGCCTTAGTAAGGCCACACCTGGAATGCTGCATCCAGTTTTGGTCACCGCATTACAAAAAAAGATGTGGAGACTTGGGAAAAAGTGCAGAGAAGAGCAACTAAGAGGATTAGGCTAAGATATATGAAGAACGGCTGCAGGAATTGAGTACGGCTAGTCTAAAGAAAAGAAGGACCAGGGGTGACAGGATAGCAGAGTTCCAGTATTTGAAGGGCTGCCACAAATAAGAAGGGGGGGGGGGTGTTAAGCTCTTCTCCAAAGCTCTAGAAGGCAGGACAAGAAACAATGGATGGAAACCAACCAAGAAGAGAAGCAACCTGGGACTAAGGAGAAACTTCCTAACAGTGAGGACAATTAACCAACTTAGTTGTGGATGCTCCATCACTGGAGGTTTTTGAGAAAAAAAACTGGACAACCATTTGTCTGAAATGGCATAGGGCAGGGGTGTCAAACTCAATAAAATATATATATATATACATTGCTTACTGGTGTACACCGCTTAGAGAGTGCTTGCACTTAAAGCGGTATATAAGTCTCATAAATAAATAAATAAAATAAATAAAATTTCATTGAGGGCCGCATCAGCATTGCGGTTGCCCTTGGGGGGGGGGTGTGCAGCCTACTGGGTGGGTGTGGCCTACTGGGTGGGCGTGGCCAGCTCTACATCATTCGTGTCAAGGGTGCCTGTGGGGGCCTGGGCAGGAGTGGGACAGATCTGAGGGTCTCTGGCAGAAGGGGGTGGGACCGGGGTAGTAGGCGAGGGCCATTTGCTGGCCACTTCCAAGCAATGATGCATTTCTTCATTCCTCACAAAGGGTGACACCTCCCCAGCATGCACCCAGGGGGCGGGGCCGACACGGCAGAGGCTGGTTCCTCGCTGTTTCCGGACAGCCTTGTGGAGCTAAGACTGAATGTGTTTCAGCATAGATGGCCACCACAAAATTGTACATTGGCTCCCGGCCGGCCTGGGCCATCACCAAGGCAGCGGGGGCTGTTCCCTCACTGTTTCCAGGATGGCTTCGCGGGCCACATGAAACCACTTCGTGGGCCGCATCCGGCTCCCGGGCCTTGTGTTTGACATGTCTGGCATAGGGCTTCCTTCTTGAGCAGGGGGTTGGACTAGAGGACCTCGAAGGTCCCATCCAGCTCTCTGTTTTGACTGAGGGGGTCTCGTGGTGGGAGGAAAGAGAAGGGCAGAAGTGGGAGTCCAGGAAGAAGCAGTTTTCTGCTTTTTTGCATTGGCCCAAAACCCAACCTGGTGCGGGAGGGGATAATCAGACTCCCCCAGCGAGGGTCCGGTTAGAAGTTGGTTCACCTCTGAACGTCTTGATTGGAAGGAGGTTTTTTGGGGTTCCATCCTTTTCTGATGGAAAACAGCAAACAATACTTTGGGAGGGGGGTTAAGGAAGGCAGGAGAGAGAAAGAGAAATTAAGAGGAACTGTGAAATGAAAGCAAAGAAGGTTTATGGTTGCAATATAATTTTATTTGGGTTTTTTTTTTTGCTTTGATTGGGAGTTGCCCAAAGTTGGATAGAAGATGGGTGGATATAGAAGGAAGGAAGGGAGGGAGGGAGGGAGGGAGGGAGGGAGGGAGGGAGGAAGGAAGGAAGGAATATGAGTGAGAGGAAGAAAAGGAAAGATGGAAGGAGTAATGGAGGGAAGGGAAGAAGGAAGGTAAGTAGGTAGGTAGGTAGGTAGGTAGGTAGGTAGATAGATAGATAGATAATAAATGGATGGATGAATGCATGGATGGATAGATATAAATTGATAATTAGATAGATAGATAGATAGATAGATAGATAGATAGATAGATAGATAGATAGATAGACAGACAGATAGATAGATAGATAGATAGATAGATAGATAGACGGATAGATAGGATAGAAGATAGAGATAGATAGATAGATAGATAGATAGATAGATAGATAGATAGATAGATAGATAGATAGATAGAAGGGAGGGAGGAAAGGAGGGAAGATGGGTGAGAAAAGGAAAGGAAAGAAGGAAGGAGTAATGGAAGGAAGGAATATGAGTGAGAGGAAGAAAAGAAGGAAAGATGGAAGGAATAATGGAGGGAAGGGGAGAAGGAAGGGAGGAAGATAGATAGATAAAAGGGAGGGAGGGAGGAAAGGAAGGAAGATGGAGAGGAAGGAAAAGAAAGACGGAAGGAGTAATGGAGGGAAGGGAAGAAGGAAGGTAGATAGGTAGGTAGACAGATAGAGACAGATAGATAAATAAAAGGGAGGGAGAGGAAAGAAAGGAAAATGGGTGAGAAAAGGAAGGAAAGAAAAGAAGCATGGAGTAATGGAAGGAAGAAATATGAGTGAGGAAGAAAAGAAGGAAGGAGAGTAATGGAGGAAGGAAAGAAGGAAGCAAGATAGATAAAAGGGAGGAAGATGGAGAGGAAGGAAAAGAAAGAAGGAAGGAGTAGTGGAGGGAAGGGGATAAGAAAGGAAGGAAAGAAGAAAGGAAGGAGGCAAATGTAAAACTAAATGTGATATTTAAATTCACAGAAGAGCAGTTTTGTAACTGAAGGTCTCATGTGGGTGTGGGTGTAGGGGGGGGGAGTGAGTGGGTGTTGCTACGGCCATTATTTGGGAGTGCTTGGCTAGCAGATCTCTGAAGAAGCCTGCTAGCCCAGAGGGTGCAGGAAGCCCTGGGTTGTGGTGGGGGTCTTGGAAATAGATGGGGTGGGAGTTCAGGACGGCTGGGTGCACTTCAACTAGGAAAGAAAGCCATTTTCTGCAGTTGCTTCGATTGGATGTATAGGGAGACCACTAAGAGATCCCAGGGTAGGGGACAGAGGAAAATTGAAAAAAACAAAAAACCACCCACTCCCAAGAAAAAGGGAAAGGAAAAACCACCCATCTTGAGAAATGCAGGAAGGGGCTGGTTCTGCACTCAGGGTTACAGCTACCTTGTTCTTTTTTTCCTGTGTTGTCCTGTGTTCATATGCTGCTCCTCTCATTACGCAAAGCGAGTCTGAGTGGCTGACCAAGGCCTCTTTGGCCTTCCAGTTGCTCTTGGGGGGGCTCCTGCCAGTCCCCCCCCACACACACTGATGCCCACTATTTCTTTCCCCTCTGCAGCTCTACGAGTTGGATGGAGACCCCAAACGGAAGGAATTTCTGGATGATCTGTTCAGCTTCATGCAGAAGAGAGGTGAGTGTATAGGTGGGTCTTCCTTCCTTCCTTCCTTCCTTCCTTCCTCCTTTCCCTTCCTTCCTTTCCTCTCATTCTCCTCCTTTTCTTCCTTCCTTCCTCTCATTCCCCTTTTCTTCCATCCTTTCTTTCCTTCCTTCCCTTCCTCTCATCTCCCTTCCTTCCTTCTTCCCTCCCTCTCCCTACCTTCTCTCATCCCCTCCTTTTCTTCCTTCCTATCTTCCTTCCTTCCTCTCATTCCCATCTCCTTCCTTCCTCTCCTTCCCCTTTTGTCTTCCCTCCCTCCCTTCCTCCTCCTCCTTTCCTTCCTCTCATCCCCTCCTTTTCTTCCTTTCCTTTCCTTCCTTCCCTTCCTTCCTTCCTTCCTTCCTTCCTTCCTTCCTTCCTTCCTTCCTTCCTTCCTTCCTTCCCTTCCTCTCATTCCCCTTTTCTCCTCCCTCCCACCCTCCCTTCCTTTCCTTTCTCTCATCCCCCCTCCTTTTGTTCCTTCCTTCCTTCCTTCCTTCCTTCCTTCCTTCCTTCCTTCCTTCCTTCCTTCCCTTCCTCTCATTCCCATGTCCTTCCTATCATTCCCCTTTTCTCCTCCCTCCCTTCCTTTCCTTCCTCTCATTTCCTCCTTTTGTTCCTTCCTTCCTCCCTCCCCCTCCCTCCCTTCCTTCCTCTCATCCCCCTCCTTTTCTTCCTTCCTTCCTTCCTCTCATTCCCATCTCCTTCCTCCCCCCTCCCTTTTCCCATCCCAGGCCAATCCCTGCCTGCCCCACCCCCATTCATTAGCGCCCCATTAACCTCTGCCTGGGGTTGAGGGCTATCGAGCGGCAGGTTGATTAATCCAGCGGTTGGAAAAGGGCTCTAATTGATGGCAACCTCTGGGTGGCGTCAGAGGCCGTGGGGGAGGGGCTTGGGAAAGGGCTCTCTGGTTTGATGGGGTGGGGGAGGCGGGGGTCAGAGGTTAAAGCATTTATCGAATCCCCTCAATTGTTGGAACTTCCTATTTATCCCAACTGGGCCCAATAACAAAACCCGGCACCGATTTCCAATGCCAGAGGGCCGTCCATCAAGGCTGCCGTTAAAATGGCTGCGGCAGCTTTGAGGCCGGGGACGAAGGGACCGACCACCCCAGGGCTGCTGCAGGTGAGGTCAAAAAAGTCAAGATGGAGGCTAGAGCCAGATGAATAAAAAACCCCTCTGCTGTCTTCCAATGCCGAGCTAAGGACGCTTCTGGCAAGAGTGCCCCTGAGCTTATCCAGAAGTCACTTATCCAGAAGTCACTTATTACTCCCGCAGTCAGGGGCATACAGCAGCAGGGCACCCTCAACTAACGGCCACAAGGGAGCCCAAAATTGTTGTTTCTAAGTGAGGCAGTTGTGAGATTTGCCCCATTTTGCAGCCTTTCTTGCCACACCGATTAAGTGAATGATTGCAGTTGTTAAGTGAGTAACACGGTCGTTAAGCGAACCCGGGTTCCCCCTTGACTTGTCAGAAGGTCACAAAAGGGGACCACATGATCTGTGGGACACCACAACCATCATAAGTACATGCCAGTTGCCAACTGTCCAAATTTTGATTAGAGAGGAAGGAAAGAAGGAAGGAAGATGAGTGAGAAAGGTGAGAGAGGGCAGGAGGAAGGAAGGAAGGAAGGAAGGAAGGAAGGAAGGAAGGAAGGAAGGAAGGAAGGAAGGAAGGAAGGAATGTGACAGTGGGAGTGAGGGAGGAAGGAAGGAAGGAAGGAAAGAAGGAAGATGAGATAGGAAAGCAAGGGAGACAGGAAGGAAAAAAGGAACGAAAGAAGGAAGATGAGAGAAAAAGGAAGAAATGCAGGCAAGAGAGGAAAGTGAGGGAAGGAGGAAGCAAGGAAGGAAAATGAGTGAGAAAAAGAAAGGAAGGCAAGAGAGAAGGAAGGAAGGAAGGGAAGGAAGGAAGAAATGTGAGGGTGGGAGGGAGGGAGGAAGGAAGGGAGGAAAGAAGATGAGGTAGGAAAGCAAGGGAGACAGAAAGGAAAAAGGAACGAAAGAAGGAAGATGAGAGAAAAATGGAGTAAGGCAAGGGAAGGAGGAAGGAAGGAAGGAAAATGATTGAGAAAAAGGAAGGAGGGAAGGAAGGAAGGAAGGAAGGAAGGAAAGAGAGGAGAAAGCAGAAAAGGAAGGAAGGAAGGAAGGAAGGAAGGAAGGAAGGAAGGAAGGAAGGAAGGAAGGAAGGAAGGGAGGATCTGGACTGCCTGCAGATGACAGAGACCCCCCCTTCCCCCAAGATACACGGCCCCTCCACTGTGCGCCTGGCCCTCATTATTCTCCCTGAACTAATTAAGCGGCTTTCTCCTGCCTGCGATAAGGGTGCTAATTAAGAGCTTTTCTTGTGGCTGCACATCTGTATTGGAAAGCCCTTTGTGAGGCTCCGGTAGGGGGATCGAATCCCCCCGGGGGTGGGGCTGGGGCGCTCTCGATGCCCATCGATTGTCACTTGGAGAGATAAGGGGCAAAGTGCGCCCCCCCCTTGAGCCCGAAGGAGAGGAATTGCTGGGATGGGGGGCTGAGCCTTTCTGCCTCTTTGGAGATCTGCTCTTCCGGCACAATTTGAGCCTCACACAAGCGACAGGCATGAGAAGCTGGGGGGAAGCCCCCACCACTTGTGCTCCAGTTTTCCTGAACTTTGTGCCTGCCCCTCTCCCCTCCATGCTGGCTGGGGATGATGGCACTGCAGTTCCTTGCATTTAGAGGAAGCAAGGCTGCTGTCATCCCTGCCCAAATTGTTGTTGTTGTTAGTTGCAGAAGTCGTGTCCGACCCATCGCGACCCCATGGACAACGTTCCTCCAGGCCTTCCTGTCCTCTACCATCTTCTGGAGTCCATTTAAGCTCATGCCTACTGCTTCCGTCACTCCTTCCAGCCATCTCATTCTCTGTCGTCCCCTTCTTCTATTGCCCTCAATCTTTCCCAGCATTAGGCCTTCTCCAGTGAGTCCTTCCTTCTCATTAGGTGGCCAAAGTATTTGAGTTTCAACTTCAGGATCTGGCCTTCTAAAGAGCAGTCGGGGTTGATCTCTTCTAGGACTGACCGGTTTGAACGCCTTGCAGTCCAAGGGACTCGCAGGAGTCTTCTCCAGCACCATAGTTCAAAGGCCTCCATTCTTTGGCGCTCAGCCTTTCTTATGGTCCAACTTTCACAGCCATACATTGCAAGTGGGAAAACCATGGCCTTGACTATATGCACTTTTGTTGGCAGGGTGATGTCTCTGCTTTTTAGGATGCTGTCTAGATTTGCCATAGCTTTCCTCCCCAGGAGCAAGCGTCTTCTAATTTCTTGGCTGCAGCCCCATCTGTGGTGATCTTGGAGCCCAGGAAGATAAAATCTGTCACTACCTCCATTTCTTCCCCATCTATTTGCCAGGAATTGAGAGGGCCGGATGCCATGATCTTGGTTTTCTTAACCAGATTGGCACCTTATAAAATCATGGGGCTGGAAGGGACCTTGGAGGTCATCTAGTCCAACCCCCTGCCCAAGCAGGAGACCTTATACCATTCCAGTCAAATGGCTGTTCAGTCTCTTCTCAAAAACCTCCAGTGTTGGAGCATTCAAAACTTCTGGAGGCAAGTCATTCCACTGATTAATTAAAAAAGTAACAGAATAACAGAGTTAGAAGGGATCTTGGAGGTCTTCTAGTCCACCCCCCCACTCCACCCCGCTCAAGCAGGAGATCCTGTACCATTTCAGACAAATGGCTGTCCAGCTTCTTCTTAAAAACTAACTCACAACTTCTGGAGGCAAGCAGTTCCACTGGTTTGATTGTTCTTACTGTCAGGAAATTTCTCCTTAATTCCTTGATTAGTTTCCATCTGTTGCTTCTTGCTCTGCCTTCAGGTGCTTTGGAGAGAAAATCAAGCCCCTTTTCCCAGTGACAGATCCTCAAGAATTGGAAGGCTGCTATCGCATCTCTCTTCCCCTTCATAAACAAACAAAAAAATTGTTCACATTTGTAATCTTGTGAGTGTGACTTCCCAAGAACCCTGCAGAGTAGACCAGCATCGATCCCCACCCCACAGCTGAGAAGACTGAGAGAAGCCAGTCGCAAAAAAAAAAACGTGCTGCCAAGTTAGTGGTATAACTGACCATGGGAATTGTCTCCAGCAAGAACGGCTGCTGGAATTGGGTATGTCTAGTTTAATGAAGAGAAGGACGAGGGGGGGGACATGATAACCGTGTTCCAATATCTCAGGGGTTGCCACAAAGAAGAGGGAGTGAAGCTATTCTCCAAAGCACCTGAGGGCAGGACAAGAAGCAACGGATGGAAACTAACCAAAGAGAGAAGCAACCTAGAACTGAGGAGAAACTTCCTGACAGTGAGAACAATTAACCAGTGGAACAACCTGCCTCCAGAAGCTGTGAATGCTCCAACACTGGAGGTTTTTATGAAGAGACTGGACAGCCATTTATCTGAAATGGTATAGGGTTTCCTGCCTGAGCAGGGGGTTGGACTAGAAGATCTCCGAGGTCCCTTCCAGTTTCTTCTTCTTCTTCTTCTTCTTCTTCTTCTTCTTCTTCTTCTTCTTCTTCTTCTTCTTCTTCTTCTTCTTCTTCTTCTTCTTCTTCTTCTTCTTCTTCCTTCTTCTTCTTCTTCTTCTTCTTCTTCTTCTTCTTCTTCTTCTTCTTCTTCTCCTCCTCCTCCTCCTCCTCCTCCTCCTCCTCCTCCTCCTCCTCCTCCTCCTCCTTCTTCTTCTTCATCATCATTATATGAAATTTAAATAAATTAATAAATACAAGAGGGGAAGATCTGACGCCCTCCAAATGCCTTTAAGCCTTATCTGGTCTTTTCCCAAGCGAAAGCTTCCAGTCTGGGGGAAATTCCTGAAATACAGGCAGTGAACAGTAAAGTAGCTAGTTTGAACTCTATACATTTTGAGTCTAGTTGTGCCTGACAACAGATCCAGGAGAGCTATAAACTTGCTTTGGAGCAGCCCTTGGGAAGCCAGGCTGGGCTTTCTCAAGGCTGCCTCTGCTTCACAGCCCA